CACTTGTCGAGATTCGCTTTGTACTTGGCTAGTCGCAAACGATTCAAAACAACGTGAAGGTGTACGATGTGCTTGTCCAACGTCCTACTATAAACCAAGATATCATCAAGGTAGATGAGGACGCTGCGATCGAGCAAGTCACGAAACTCAGTCATCATCGCTGCTTGAAACGTTGCGGGGGCATTGATGAGTCCAAATGGCATGACGACCCACTCAAAATGCCCGTACCACGTCTTGAACGCGGTCTTGTACCGGTCTTGAGGCTGAATTTCAATTTGGTGGCAACCTGACTTCAAATCCAACTTCGAGAAGTACGTCGCGCCGTCTAACCGCTCAAGGAGATCATCAATCCGAGGGAGAGGGCCGGCGTTCTTTACGGTTTGTGCGTTAAGTTTCCGATAGTCGATGCATAACCGTAGATCTTTGTTCTTCTTCCGGACGAAGAGAACAGGTGCACAGTATGGCGAGCAACTAGGGCGAATCCAACCCTTGTTGAGAAGATCATCGAGTTGTGCGCGAAGCACCTCGAGTTCCTCTTCGCTCATGCGGTAGATACATCCACGCGGAGGGACGGCGCCAGCCTCGAGAGTGATCCCGTGACGTATGGGCCGATCCGGAACCGTTCCGGTGGGAGCCTCGAAGACGTCTCTATACTCGTCCAAGAGGTGAGAAATGCGTGGGTCCGGCAGTGACGCAGCTGGTCCGTCCGGCGAGGGGAGAGCATGCAAGAATACAAGGCCCATCTCCTCGACGTCATTCCGAGCAATGGCGTCGTGAATCCGCGCAACGGAAACCACGTGACAAGCAATCGAAGTGTGAGGGGTCRCRACCGTACATGGGACTAACACTCCGTTCCGATCACAAATGTGAACGGTTCGGTCATGGAAGTTCACCGGATGATCGGCGCTACGCAACCAAGACATGCCTAGAATCATGTCGAAGTTGATGTCGAGGATGTCAAAAGACACCGGCTCGCACGTAAGTGGCGCACAATAGACCGGAACGCCGTCAACGCATCGGTCAATTGACTTTTGCGTGCGGCCGTCCGCGAGTGTAACTTGCGTAGGTTGCGTCTTTCTTCGAACGCGCGGGCCAAGACCTGCGCGGGCCATGAAGGCTTGACTTATGAAGTTGCGAGACGCTCCGCAATCAATCAAGGCACTACAGGTTGCCTTTCCGATTTGAATGCGGATATAGAGCAAAGGTGCGTCGGTTTCGGCGTACCTTTGGGTGGCGTGCTCGCGGTCGATCTTCGCAAGATAGGAGCGGAGATCGGCAACCGCTACCCCGTCGTCCGTCAACGGAGCTGGTGCTGTAGTGTGCAAGTAGAAGCGTAGATTTGCCATCAAGGCGTTGAAATGCGGCCTTGGCAATGTTCCGGTCGAGGGTAAAGGTATCCAAGCGAAATCCTCTCTCGTGAGCGGGTCAAGCTCCTCAAGTCTTGACCACGCCGTCGAGTCCTCGGAAAGCAGTGGCGAATTGACCGGATCACTTGCCGACGGTGTACAGGCTGCGCATACGCAATCTACATGCACGTGGCTAGGCTGGTCTAATGGTGGTACCAGCTGGGCGGCATAATCCTCGTACGTAGCACGAGAATCAGCGACTAACGCATGYTCCCCGGTAGTGACATCGATTGCTAGCAAGGCAACCGGGTCCGGCGGAGTGAGGAGAGACGTCGCCCCTCTCCTTGCGTAACTCAGTTTCCCGAGTTTGCTGGACGGGGTACGCGTGCCTTGCCCTTTTCGGGGCATTGTGCGGTCACATGGGTGACTCCGTTGCACCAAGTCAGTATCCGTACTTCTGACGTAGGTCATAGTCCTCCTTGGTGATCTTATATGTCGTCCATGGCTGCCCAGCTCCCGTCGCTGCCGTCTCTTGTGTCGCCTTGTTCTTTCGAACTCTCTTGGGACGCTTCGACGGGAGCGCTGCGACAATTCCTCCATCACTCGAGGATGCTGCTGCAGCGTGGTGGTCGTCCGTTTCCTAAAAAATCACGGCATTGTTATGTGCCGGACGTTGATAGGCCTGCTTAGCCACATAGTGCGGCTGGGATTGTCTCTCGTTAGCGGCCTTGTCGTTCGTTTGGATGACCAAGTTCGCTCGATCCAGAATGCCCTGGAATGTGGTATAGTCGTACTCATTACCGAGTGCCGGCCTCAATCCCGCGCGTGATCGCAAGAAGAACTCGGATCGTTGATTTGGGAACGTCAAGTCGAAGCCTGGTGTGGTCACTATCTTTTGCCACTTCGTTGTCCAGTCTCGATTTGGCATGTTCCCCTGAGAGCATGTGTACACCTCATTCATGGCCGCCTTCACGACGTTGCGGACCATGAACCGGGTGAACCATAGCTGCTCGAACTCCTTCCACGTGATGTGCGTGTGGAGTTCGGCGATGGTGCACTTGTGGGTGGCCGCCAGGTGGTTCATCCATGCTTGCGCTCCTCCAATCAGTTGCAAATAGAGTGCCTTCAACATGTCGTTCGCCGGGACAGTTCGGCATGACGCTTCCGTGAGGAAACGTTGCCACCATGTCAAAGCGTCCGACTTGTAGTCGTCGAGCTTGCAGATGTCGAAGTGCGGCATCTTGAACGTCTTTGTAGCGGCGTCCGGTGTCGTCTGTAGCTTGGTGATGTCCGTCTTGATGGCGGCCACCGTGCTGCTGATCGTGTCCGGTCCGTTGAAAACACCTATGTCGCCGATGATGGTGACGACGTGATCGATGCGTTCGTTGATTTGCTTCGTTGCGTCCGTCGTGCAGCCTGGCGCCGCTGAGGCCTTGGCCTCAATGCCGTTGATGCGTGCGATGGTAGAGTTCATCAGCTGTTGCTGTTGCTGCTGCTGCGTTGCTGCGTCGTGGACGTCGGCCGTTACAGCGGCCAGGTCTTGCTGGTACTGCTGTCTTTGCTGTCGTTCCGCGTGCAGGTGTGCCTGCAGTAGTTTGTTGTTCCACATTACTCCCCTCATTACGTTCAACATCACGGTAGCCAGGTTACTTCTCTCTGCATCCGCCTGTGTCGGCTCCGCCTGCGTTTCCGTAGGCACAAAGATCATGCCTTGGAGTACCGTTGTCCACTGATGCTCACTAGCAATCAGGGACTCCGTGCTGGCGGCATTCCGTCTGTTTCGTGCCGCTTCGTCAGTCTCAGCTGTCTGCTGAGCTTCGGCTGCCGCCTCATTGGCCAGCCGCTGACGTTCTGCCTCTGCCGCAGCCTGCTGAGCCTCGGCGGCGGCTACGGCGTTTGTAAATGCCTGTAGCCGCCCACAATAGTCAGCCAAAGGCTCGCTGGCCTCTCGGACCGGGCATGCGGGAAGATCTCCGGTGGTGTCTTGTACTGTCAATGCCGTACTTGATGCTGCTGGAGTCGTCCGTCTGCTGAATCTCTTGGGTCTTGGAGGTACTGCAGGGCGGGCACGAACTGCGATCCAGGCACTGCGCCGTGGCAGTGCCCCGGTGTCCTGTTCCATCGGCATCAGTCTGAACTGATGCGGTACTTGAGAGGTGCCGGTGTTCACAGAATACAGGGGGGTAGGGAGAGTGGGAACAGGGGTAGAACAATCAAGCAGTATACATACAATCCCCTGTCCCACTGATGGACTGTAGACACCTAATCAAACAGGAAAAAACTAAATTTCCCGTAAACCCTTCAAAAAAATTCGTAATAAGGAATTAATAACGATTTAATCAATAAAATTAATTAATGATAACCAGTAAAACAATGTTTGTAATAAAGATAACCAATTAATGATAATCAGTAAAACAATGTTTGTAATAAAGATAACCAATTAATAAACGAATTTGAAAGGTATTATGATTAGGTCTCTTTGAGATCACTTTGAGTCCGGGAGTTCACCGTTACTGAGTGAACTACCCGGAAGTTGCAGTTTGAGGGTCAGATACTGCTTAGTGTGCTAAAAAATTTCGGAAAATTTCAGAAGAAAAAACGCTCGAATTTTCAAAAACGCGAATTTTCGGGAATTTCCACAGTCAAAATCCGATT